TAAGATGCAGTTGAAATAATGTTTTTGTGTACTGCAATACCTGACTACACGTTATGTAAAATACTGCTCAACTTTATGTCCAATTGTATGGTCATAGATCCTGTATTCAACTTTTAAAAGTTGAACCTGCCCTTTGCCAACTTTAACTGACTTAATGTTAAACCCAGAGTTGGAATTTCCTGCCTTAGCTCAAGAAAATGAAATAAAGAATAATAATAAAGATTTGCTATAATAATAGAATTAAAATGTTTATAATGATGCGCAAATGAAGAACTAAACTAGGTGGAAGTACTGGCCTAACTAAATATTTATTATCTCTCATTTGCAACTGCATTTCTTTTCTTTTAGGGGTTCCTGGGATCGTTGCCTCACTCAGAGGGTTTAGAGGCCATGAAAACCCAGCTGGACCCTCACAAGCGTGTGCTCATAGGTATGCACACCATCACTGTTTTTGCTCTCACTACATGTCAACGGGGTCAGACTAAATAAACAAATATTTATAATAATTTTATTTAAAATATTGTTATACATTAAATAATTGGCTACTTTTGTACTTCACAAATGTAGACAGCACAGTTGTTAAGCAAATCTGTATGTTTGTGTTATTTGTTGTACCTGTTTAATAACATTTTATCAAGTACAGCTCCTTGGCTGAATGTACAGTAGTGTTTATGTAATGTTTTTGATCATGTTGTAATGGAAGAACTGAGCATTAACTGGGAGCGGTCCCTTGTGGAAAACCATTTCACCTGAACCTAAACGGTTTGCATTATCAGAACAGTTAGACATGATGTCATATTGTGTTTCAGCAACTTTAAACAAAATTAAAAAATCAGACAATGGTTATTAAATAATTAGAGGTAATATTGCTTTGATGTAGACAAAATATTTCCTTTTCCCTTCCACAGATGCTGTGTGATAAAGCAGTTTCCAAATCCCATAGTGTCTGCAGTCGCAGAAAATGCAACGAGTCCTACTCAAAGATAACCGACCCTCCACTCCAAGAATAAGGATTGTGATATTTTTCAGTTTCAGTTTGGGTCCACCATTTGTACTGTATTCTTGTGACGGAGTACCTTCACTACAGCTGAGTAAGCGCTTGGAGTGCCATACGTTGCTGTCAAAGCGTTGCATGTTTGAGGGACCCCCATGGGTAACATTAAGGATGTGATGTGTATAGTGTACTTTTCATTAATACTGATCATATGTCATCATTTTACTGATCTTATTTTTATTTGAAGGTATTTTGGTCAAGATGTGATCCATGCTGCTGTAACTTAAAATAAACGTTAGTGTATTATGTATATATATGTATGTATATATATATACACACACAAGGACAGCTGAAATTAATAGGCTAGTCGTTTAATCAATAAGTGAACTGACAGAAAGATTAATGGTAACTATTTTGATAATTATCATTTTTCATGCAACAATATTTCCTGGGTCTAACGTCACAACTTAAAATATGTAAAATTAAAATTAAAGTTTTTTTAGTTGTCTGTGTGTGTGTGTGTGTTGTAAAATGTATTTTTTTCAGATTTTTATTATTATGCTAAAAGGGCATTTTGCAAGATATTTTTAATGCATTAATGCATTATTCTCATACTGAATGGTTTCATAAAGAATCTTCCCAAGATATTAATAGTGGCTCTTGGAGTATACTAGTAATAAATTACTAATATGCTGAAATGCTAATAAAAATATTCAGGGAACACATTTAAAATATATTTAAACTGTTCTTCAAGTATAGCAAAAAAGGGTATTTTAAGTTAAATTTAAAGAAGTATATTTAAATTACAGTAAAGGTACTTAAAATAGGTCCATTTTAACACAACTAAGTATATTAAAATATATTGCAATTATCTTCAGTTGACTTTAAGTATTTCTAAAATGACACTTAACATACTTTAAGTTGTTCCAAAATAACACATTTAATATACACTTGGTATATTGGCAATAAAAATGTAATAAGTGCATCCAAAACTACTACTTCTATATCTAATATCTACCTACCACATACTTAGCCAATAAAGCTGATTCTGATTAGTAATAAACATAAAGCTGAGGCTGATAGGAATGTCATTATTTTACAGGTAAACCAGCCGTTGGATAAAACATCAGGGTATCACTAAATTCATTCTGGGCACCAGGAACCAAATGTCATGGCAACATATGTTTATTGAGACATTGTACTAAAAAACAATCTTAAGAAGGTGCTAGAGCAAAAAGTCTCTCACCAATGTCAGTGGGCTTCTTTATGTCTTGGAAACAGGCAAGCAAAACAAAGTAAAAATCAAAAGGTTAATGTCCAGGCGTGATTTAGTAAAACTACATAACATTTATTAATTTTAGCTGATGCTTTTATGCAAAGCGATTTACAATTGTTATATGTCAGAGGTGACTCGCCTCTGGAGCAACTAGGGGTTAAAAAAGTGTTTTGCTCAGGGATGCATTGGTGGATGTCTCACAGTGGGAATTGAATTGATTTCCCACACCAAAAGCATGTGTCATATCTGCTTTTCCATTGTGACACCAATTCTCAGTTCTCTGCAGTAGTTTCAAGTGTCAAAGTACCACTGCTGTCTCTCACCATGTCACCAGCAGAGGTCTCAGTTGGGAAAGGAAACTATTACCATGCTGGCTTTGTTCACTGGGATCCAGCCTCTGTACTGAATGTGCAGACATCCACCTACAGAGGAGATGACGCTGCAATGAATCAAATAAAAAGAAACCAGATCTGATTTTATCTTCAGTCTCTTGCTTCATTGTTATTGAACTGTGTGTGCAATGCTTGCCTGCATCCATGTTTGTAGGTTCTCCTTTAACACAACCAGCACATATTAATGTGGGACAGGCAATGAATCTTTAATGAATTGAATAATGTTCTAATCATACTTTCATTAAAATGATTACACTGACTACAATTACTACAGTGTGTTGTGTTAACATCCCTCTGGTAAACATTAATATGTATAAGAATTCATTTGTGTAACGAGAAAGAGCTTTTTTCACTAATTCTGGAAACATTACAGTGTAGTATACTGAAGCGCTGGACTTAAATATGCAAAGGAAAGGGAAACAAGTTGTTTGTTAAATGGAGAATCCTCATAAATTCCACTTATTAGTTGATGGTGAAGTAATTTTGTAGGTGTTAGAAATGGAAATAAGATTAAACTGAAGAAGGAAACAGTAAGATACTGTTTTTTTCGTCAGAGAAAAGATATCAAATGGTTCATTCTACCAAGTTACAAAAATAATACTTTCTGACCTGCAGTTGAGATCGAAAACTACCTTGCAGGTAGATTTATTGGCACCTACAGTGACACTGTTTCTGGAAAAAGGCGTTTCTGTTTAATTTCTTAAAAAGCAATCCCTCAATTTTGAGAGCAGCACAGACAAAATTTTCTATTGAGGTTGAGGCAAAAATGCCTCTTTATACTTCTACTCCACTACATTTCAGAGAGAAATATTCTTTTTACTTCACTACAATTATTTGACAGCTTTAGTTACTATACAAATTACATACATTAATTACGTTAACAAAATATATATATATATATATATATATATATATATATATAGATATATATATATATATATATATATATGTATATGTATGTATATATATATATATATATGGTAACTATTTTGATAATTATCATTTTTCATGCAACAATATTTCCTGGGTCTAACGTCACAAATATGAGAATTTGCTGATTTTCCTTTTAATAATTTTAATAATTTCAATTTATTTTTAATCATTTAGAATTTTGTACTATTGGTTGGATTATTAGATGGCCTTAAAGGAAAAATAACCTGTCTGATGCAGCGACCACTTAGTTGTGTATGAATGTATTTTTAAAGTGGCTATAATTGATATTTCAGCTCTCTGTTTAGCTGTCTGGCCACAACTTAACTGTTTTTGGTTCACTCTTAAGGCTTTGTTTACAGTAAAAAAAAAAAAATCCAACAAGCTTAGCAGCTAAAGAGCCAGATATTTCCCTCAGGAGCTGGTGGAGACCAAAGACAGAGCTAAAAGGAAAGTGAATATAAGACTAACTTTCATCAGGTGGCCAGAAACATGACTCAAAGCGAATGATAGTTGCTCCATATATGTAAATATGTCTTTTTGCCAACAACTTCGCCATTTCAACTTAAAACATGTCAGTGTTGTGTTCACAACTTTTTTCTGCTGCCCCCAGATGGCCCCCCAAAAATAATTTAACCATCTAAATAAGTTTACTAATTTGGTCTCACTGAAATGAACCAATTCAGGGTGTCACTGAGAAAGAATGAAGAAAAAAAAAGAAAGTAAGAACCTTGCAGGTGCAGATTGACTGGGGATTCATTATGTTTCCTCACACAGCAGCTGAAGCGTGTAGGTGGGCCTATCCCATGTTTTCCTGTCCCCAGAGGTACCCGTGTGCGCGCACACACACACACGCACACAATCTCTTCACACACACATACGGCCTGATTAAACATCTTCTGAGAATATCTTTCCCCCATCATGTCTGCATGATTCTGTCGCTCCAGAGGGAAATATACTGACATGTACGCGCGAAGCCACCCACTGGGCGCGTGCACGATTTAATCATATCTGGAGAGTGAGAGAGAGAGAGAGAGAGAGAGAGAGAGAGAGAGAGATGCTGCCGGGTGTTGAGTCCGGTGTGACTTATCTATCCTACTCTGCTTCTGTCGGTAACGGACCGGCTGCGCACACACCTACACACACACACACCGGGAGCGCACGCAGGACCGGACTGGCGCACTGGGGAAAAGGGAGGGAAGAGAGAGAGAAAGAGACACATGTCAGACCGGATCGAGCAGGGGAATGTACCGGATTCCGCTGCACACACGCCCGGGCTGTCCCGCACTGAGGGCTGCGCTGAGTTAACGGGACACGACACCGGGCTGAGCCGGGGGCGGGAGGACCGGACCGGGATAGTGTAAAAAAGGAGTCACCTGGCTGCGGAGGGAGGGTCGGGAGGGGCGGAGGGGGAGCTGTGCGCGGCTGACAGAGCTTTGTTTTGGGTAAACATCACCGCTTGCGCGCAACGGAGAGTCAGCGCAAAGTTTCCTCGATGGCGCTGGTGATGGAGCCGGTGAGCAAATGGAGCACGAGCCAGGTGGTGGACTGGATGAAAGGTAGGGCTATAGACACACACACACACACCTTATGCACATGATCAATTTCGCAATTCAACTTAAAACATTTATAGTCAAAAACCTAATAGACATACTCTGAGTGATCATGACTGATGAACGTCAATGCAGAAGAGACAGAGGCTGGCAAGATGTTATGTTGCGTGGGAGATGTGTGTGCATGTGTGTGTGTGTGTGTGTGTGTGAGAGAGAGAGCAAGTGTGTCCATGCATCATCCTGGCACCTGATGATCAGTGGGAGGTGATGTAATGTGTGAGTGGCAGGAGGAAAACCTGCCAAACTTCACAGTGGAGAGCAGGGGTGGGTTTAGAAACTTTTGAGGGGGGGGGGGGGGGGGGGGGGGGGGCAGACCGGGGTGCAGACCCAATCAAGGGGGGCACATTTAGGAAATGACTGAAAATGTGTCAAGGCTCAAATTTAAAGCCCGGATTCCAATAGTCACATGGTTTATTCAGTGCAATGAATGAATGCCAAATACACAACCTTAAATATTCTATAATATAGTATAATAATAATATCAATAAATAGCTGCTATTTGTAACACCAGACATCCTACAGCCATGGACAGAATATGAGACACCGTGCCCCTGGACACAGACATGTAAAGGACCGATTAGATAGATAGATAGATAGAGTCTCTGTGATTGTTTTATGTCATTTTCTGACAGGCTGCATCTCTTTGTAGTGATTTTGCTTTATTTTTAGGTTGTTTTGCATTACTTTGTTGAGGTTGTGTGTGTCTTTGTGGTCATTTTGCACCTGTGGCAGGTGCCACCCCTCTGACAGGAGGACTAACGCAGGATAAAGCTCAGTGCACCACAGGCGGCCATTTTCCTCTGACATCATGCTGAGGGAGGGAAGCTCAAATGCTGTTATCAAAAGGTTAATGTCATACTGCTGTGTTCCAGGTTGCAAGGTATAGGGAATCTGACAAATCCTTATCATTTCACCGCTTCCCGTTTGATCAGCAACTGAAAAGACAATAGATAGTGAAATATTGGAGGGCCGTATTTCAAGGTAAAACAATATATTTGATAACCCATTAGCCATAGCACTAGCAAAAATTACTATATGATAGTATTACACAATATGACAGGGAGGTGTTGAATTCAACGCACATCTTGGACACATTTATTTAAGCCTCGAAATTAAACGCACTGGATGTTACATTAATCAAGTTTGCAATGTCTCTTCATCCGACCTCAGAAATGTTCTGGTTAAATCAGTAACGTAACGTGACATTATAATCATTGAAACACATATCTCTGAGTAATGTTGCCTGAGGTTGGGTAAAGAGACACACATTGCAAACTTGATGACATCCATTATCCATCATCTTTTCAGTTGCTGATCAATCGGGAGGCGGTGAAACAACAAATTCTCACTCCCAACTCGTCACTTGCTTAGTCAAGATACCTTGGTGTAGTTTTTTGAAACGGCACAATGTTGTGAAGCGTCACAATTTGTTTAGGTTTATAGGCACCAACAGTACTTGGTTAGAGTTAGGAAAAGATCATGGTTTGGGTTAAAAATTAATTTACGTAACGTAACTTACGTAACCTACATAACTTAAATAAAAACGTTCAATGTTGACTTTTCATTTCACATGGGACATGAACTCCAGTTTCCTGGTTGAAAGTCCAGTTTCTGGCCCACCGTCCACCCCAACCACCTCTTTACTTTTCTGTTAAATATCCTACACCTACTTTTACCATTCCAAAGTGACGCTACAGGGCTTTCCCCATTGCGTTGAACTATGACACTAAGGGTCTCCTCAGTGCGTTACAAACTGACGCCAATTGGTCTTGAACATGCCTCCATATGTGACATCTAGGGAGCGTGAACGGGTTGGGTTCTAATGAGGTTGTCAGATGCCTTACGTTTATTCGACTTGCAACCTGGAACACAGCACATTGTCCTTTTGATAACAGTATTTGAGCTTCCCACCATGACCGAAGTGTCAGAGGATAAATGGCCGCCGTGTGAATATGCGGCATTCATTCATCCTTTTAGTCTGACAGTAGTCTTAAAGATGTAATTTCATGTCATCTTAAACAGGTTCTGGGAAAAATACATCAATTAAAAACACACAAAATAACCAAACTGAGCATTTATTTGAAAATGTAATTGAGTTTTGTTTACACAAGTGCTTGTGATACCTTGCAATGATCAGACTAGAGATTATATTCATGCATAATTCAAGAGCCAGGCTGATTAGGTCTGTACCCAGGGGCCCTTGGCGAACATTGTGAAACCCTTTGACACATTAAAAAGAAATGGCTATTGCTGAGAAATTGTGCTTTTCAGCTTCCACTCTGCTGTCTGGCAGTGCATTTTTGTGATAAATGGATAATGGGCCAATGTAGATGCAGACAATTTAAGATTGATGTTTTGCACCAATCATAGCCTGTTCATCTTTTTGTTTACCTCTCATTTACTCTCGACAACACACATTCAAAAACACATTTGTAAGATATACAGTATTTGGGATATGTTGGTAGCAACTAATTTAGGCTCAACACACGGTTCTAATATCACTCAGGCATCCCCAAAACCATCTGCCAAAAGGAGACCATTACATTCATCAGATTTATTATCTAACCTAATTTAGTTTAGATTAACAGCCAAGTTTTAGCTGTGCTGCCAAAACTGCAGTACACTTTCCATTAATATATGTCCAATTTAGCAAAAAAGGGACTATGTGAAGGCCATGCACAGCGTCTCTAACTCTAAAGGGGTCTATCCAGTTTGTAAATTTTTTATTTTGGCTTAAAGAAATTCTTTTTGATTTCCTGAATTTTCCTCCCAGTTCCCAGCTGCTGGTGTTCTTTGAAACAGTTGAGTTTCAAAACAATTCATGGGATCTGGGGGGGTTACTTGGTGCTTCAACAAAATTGTTGATTGTGTCATTAAAGTTATATACTATCCAAAAGATCTTTTCCTTTTTTTCCTACAAACCAAAAAGATAGTTGTAAAAGCTTTGTAGTTTTCTTGGAGAATTTATTGTGGTAAGCTGGGATTCACCGCAGTTACAGTGTTGATAAGTTCAGTAAACTCATTAAAAGATGAGCTTTGATAGATTCAGTGAAAACATATTGAAAAAAATAATTGCACCAGTGCAGTTTGTCTGGTTGTTTAGAACTCACATCAGCTCTTGCGCTCTCCCCTTTATGGCATTTCTGGCTCTACACATGATGAAATAATTTTGTTCCTGTTACCGTCTTCATAACTTTCACAGCAGGTTAAGCGTGGCTGAAATCAAAAGATGAAAAGTATCACATTTAAAATTATTTTATTATTATTATTTTTTTCAATTTGAATTGAAATGATTGCGCCCCCATCAGACCAGGTAGTGTAAAGTTCGAAACACTGTACCAAAATGCATCTTCCCACAAAAGTCGATATAAAACTGGAGCAGTTAAGTCCAACATGCCATCTGAGTAGTATGTAGCTACAGTTCATTATATGCATGTCGTCCAGTTAACCCTACAGCTGCACACATTAGCGACAGGGTTAACCTCCTTCTTGTTGGTGTGCATTACAACCACCACTCCACTAGAACTACGGCCCTGGAACTGCGGCCCCAGGATTGCGGGGCTCCTGAAACTGCTGCTATATAATAATGTGCCATTTGCTCTATGACAATTATTTGAACCTTTATAGTGGCCCTTTTGACTTTTAACAGCGCCCCCATCAGGTCAATCAGAGACATTTTTCACTTACTAGAACGCAGCACTAATATGCATCATCGTTCCATATTTCACTCTTATTACAAAACACCGCCCAGTCTAAAGTCCCTACCTCCACATAAACAGAGAAAAATGACTTACAAAAACTAAAATTAGCAATAATTGTTATTCATTGTGTCTGTTTAATGCATAAAAAGAATATCAGGGGGCTCATCATTGGATGGGTTATTCGTTGGTCATGTGCATATGGCATGTGTTTATATGTGTCCCTGTGTGTGTGTGTGTGCATTCAGTGTGTGGGTGGATGGTGAGTTGTTCGTCCCAGACCGTCTGTGCAGAACAGCTGACAGACACACACACACCCGCTCTGAACAGAAGGCTCCACCAGGGTCCTCGGACTTTTGCACTCGCACACACACACTTTCATACATAGATATACACACACAACACACGTGGCATGCCCTACTCTGGTATTTGGTTCATGCTGGGTCTCTTGGGTGTGTCTGTGGCGACAGAGGGAAACATGAGATATTGTATTTGTGTGTGTGTGTGTGTATACAATAACATGTACAGATCACATATGCCACAGGCGTTTGGGGCCAAAAGGTCTGCACATTGTTGATTTGGCGACAGTGTTGCATTGGCATGTCTGAGGGTCAAGCGATATGGGAGTGGTACACTTCAATAGTAATATGAGAACCTGCCGTGCGTTGCTGGGAATGCTGGGAATTTTGCACCACGTTCCATTATCATTTGTTCATGCAGGAAGCCGGGTACAATTTTTACCTCATTTCCCTTGCATGAATATGACTGCTAGACTTGAAAATCAGCAGTGAAATTGCCGTGACAGCATGCGAGCACATCCGACACATCTGATGACACCGCTTGGCACAAGAGAAAGCGGTGATAGTCACAGCCTTTAGGACCAGAGAGTTTTTGGCCTGTGGGCTTGATCTTTTTTTAAGGTGAGACAAGATGAGACTCAAGAGGATTTAGATTGCTCCAAACATTTGCCAGTTTGCATCAGAAAAGTCAGACTCAAAAGTGAGACATTGCCTCACTTTTGTGTACTGAGCAAACAAGTTGTGCATAAGGGAATTAGGTTTGAACTGTTTTGGTCCCTCAGAGGCCAAAGAGTCCATGCAGGGCTTTAAAAGTCACTCCAGCATGATACCACTCTGGGCTATGGTATTTACATACTGTAGCATGCTCAGCGATCAAGCTCATCGTGTTCAGTGATTTTCTCATTTTAACCTTTTGCCACAAAATCACTTAACAGGCGTTATTGCAGAC